GAAACAATGTATGTTACACCACCATAACTTATATTGTAAAATCGTAAATGTATAGCGTATTCTTTGCAAAATTTGTAATGTTGCTTCAACTAAATATTCTTATGTTCTTCCTGTCCTTATGCAAAACATGTAGTTAGAAACTAACATAATTATTGTATTCTAAATTTTCTCGCATTTCATTTCAGTATTGAACACTAGAGACGTAATGACACTTCACTTCTCTTTACCACGTATGGCTTTGATATCTTCTTTAATACAATTTACAATTAAAATACAACTTTATTCCTATAAATATGTATATGAATGTTAATCTCAGTGTCATTACATTGGTCACACCTAATGTTGTCACTAATATGACATCATCACCAACACTGGTGGTGAGTGCTTTAGGATCAATACATTTCACAGGAATGTTTTGGATCAATACATTTCACAGGAATGTTTTGGATCAATACATTTCACAGGAATGTTTTGGATCAATACATTTCACAGGAATGTTTTGGATCAATACATTTCACAGGAATGTTTTGGATCAATACATTTCACAGGAATGTTTTGGATCAATACATTTCACAGGAATGTTTTGGATCAATACATTTCACAGGAATGTTTTGGATCAATACATTTCACAGGAATGTTTTGGATCAATACATTTCACAGGAATGTTTTGGATCAATACATTTCACAGGTGTGTTGACCTGTGAAATGTTTTTTTTTTTTTTGACCTTTTTTGTTTTTAATTTAACATACACGACGGAAAAATTATTTCTGAAACGCGTTCATTATCTCTGTTTCACCTTCCGTCTTACTCGTATATAGTGTAGATGTTGATTTAATTGTTGGATATCTTCCTCACCGCAGATATCTACACTCTTCCCTATCTGCAAACCAATTTCTGTATATAAAATCAGATCATTCTTTCACAAACTCAAGTCGTGCGAGGCAAGCGAGCGGCCTAACACCTGCCAAAACTGGACTTTCTGAGGTGTTGACAATCGGACTTATATCCTAGCAGCTGTCGCAAGCGGACTTACAGAGGTGTTGACAATGGGAGTGAGGCCCCCTCCCTCACCGCCACCCACGGGCTGCCCTACAAGAAGTTGTTGATGCGAGCTTCACCACAGTAACGTGCCACCAAATTTATGGCCACCGTGTTTGTTGTTGTTGTTGTGTGTGTGTGTGTGTGTGTGTGTGTGTGTGTGTATTCACCTAGTTGTGTTTGCGGGGGTTGAGCTTTGCTCTTTCGGCCCGCCTCTCAACTGCCAATCAACTGTTTACTAACTACTTTTTTTTTCAACACCACACACACACCCCAGGAAGCAGCCCGTGACAACAGACTAAATCCCAGGTACCTATTTACTGCTAAGTAACAGGGGCATTCAGAGTGAAAGAAATTTTGTCTATTTGTTTCTGCCTGGTGCGGGAATCGAACCCGCGCCACAGAATTACGAGTCCTGCGCGCTATCCACCAGGCAGGCTACCAGGCCCCTGTGTATGTGTGTGTGTGTGTGTAGAGAAGGGTAGCTTCCACAATTAACCCCCCCCCCCCACGCACCCAAGTGCTCAAGGCGACGTCTTCAGCAGCACCTCATCAACATTCCGTGACCACTTAAGAGAAATACCATTAAAGATTAACATAACTCTGGGCTGATCAGTGTCTGAACAATACCCAGTAGTCGGCGAACAATTTCATACAGACAGAGACAATGCTTAAGAGACGCTTAGGCTAGATATATCAGATGTGGATCCGTCGTGGATATTAATATCCATAGAGATACGAGATGGAAACAACAGCTGAGCAGCGGAGTTGTAGAATCTGTGGTGAGTGACGGACACCTCCTTGACCACTACCTGAGAGAATGTGAACCTCTAAGAGTCATTAGAAATGTGTGAAGCATAGTAAACTCCATATTGTTTGAGTTAGGAAAATACCATTTGTCAAGTATTGATACTGTTATTAAGATTTCCCCCATTTTGCACCCGCAAGATAACGTAAGATTTTAAGGGTTGATAGATGTTAATCTTCTTGTTTGATAAGGTGTTCACTTGAGACAGTTAAGCAAGTCCCAGCTGTGTCTGGGTACAAGTGACAGGATGAACAACCCAGCGGGTTTTCTTCCTATTGGGGAGTGTTGTACATGCTGCTATGGTGGTGTGTCCACTCACAGGATGAGTGACGCTGCCCAATACTGTCACTATGGCGGTGTGTTCACTCACGGGATGAGTGGCGCTGCCCAATACTGTCACTATGGCGGTGTGTCCACTCACAAGATGAGTGGCGCTGCCCAATACTGTCACTATGGCGGTGTGTCCACTCACAGGATGAGTGGCGCTGCCCAATACTGTCACTATGGCGGTGTGTCCACTCACAGGATGAGTGGCGCTGCCCAATACTGTCACTATGGCGGTGTGTCCACTCACAGGATGAGTGGCGCTGCCCAATACTGTCACTATGGCGGTGTGTCCACTCACAGGATGAGTGTTCTGGGTGTGTGAATGAGGCTCTGGGTGTGTGAGTGCGGCTCTGGGTGTATGAGTGCGGCTCTGGGAGAGTCAGTGCGGCTCTGGCTATGTGCGTGTGTTCGCAGACTCGCACTCAACTCCATATAATGATCTGTGATACACCATATTGTAGTGTTAACTGTATAATGAACGACCTTGTGATGATGTCCAGCGTTGAGCACATCCACCAGGCTGGTCCGTCTCTCTTGCCTTGGACAAGCAACATCATATATTACTCTCTCACACTCGCCCTCACATACTTTTCTTCACTAAAATTGGTAAAAAAACAGATTCGAGGGAAATTTGCATTTTCGAGTTCAAGAGTGAAGGTAAACTGGCCAACATTCTCTTCCCTACCCTCTCACACTCCGTGCCCCCGCACTCACGCCCACGCACTCACGCCCACGCACTCACGCCCTCGCACTTACGCCCACACACTCACGCCACACCTCACACTCCTAACCAAACCTTACTCCCTCCTCGCTTCTGTCTACCACCCTCACTCCCAAATCCCCCACACTGCAGTAAGCACATCAATTCACAGTTTTTCTTTAATTGCATTCCAGCCCCAAGACCATATACTTCCCACGCTGAGATCTCCCACACTCCGGGGCGACGGAAGATGAAGCTTGTAAATGAGAATGCAAAAAATGAAGGGTGCTCTAAAGTCATTTACACCAATGCAGAGGATATTTCAAACGAAGTAACTGAGCTTAAGGGACAGACAAACGAGGAAAACCACGGATGTAATTGTACTCACATCAAGGAAAGTGTCAAAAAGACTATTGTAGTATAGTCCCAGAGGACAAGCGAGACAGTACAAGGAAGAATCATTAACGACTAGAGATCCGAGCTGTTGTTAAGCGAAGGTTGTGAAGACATCACCGGCGGCATAACATACAAGTATAGCTACAGCTGCATAGATGCATGGGGACATAACTGGACAGGTAGATAGATCGATGGACAGATTGATAGATCTATGGACAGATGGATAGATAGCTGGACAGATGGAGAGAACTATGGATGGATGGATTAGGGGGAGGAGTTAACCATTGTTGTCCAGGTCTGTCAGGCTCTTCCTCTGAACATACAGCTGCAGAAAACAACGTAACTACGTTACTTTTAAACACCCTCCCCCACCCCACCTTTCTCCCCCCCCCCACCCCTTGTTCTTCCCCATCACCCCCTCCCCGCTTAGCCCATCTTCCCTTCTTCTTTACTTTAATGTATAACTAAAGTTGGACGGTTGGGTTCGAAGCAAAGGTTCAACCCAAGTTGTTTCATTGCCACATTAGGAAAACAGTTAAGAGGCTCCTGATGAAACTGAGGATAGGAGAGGTCTCATTCAAAGAGAATGACAGAGAAGTGTGTGAGGAACCCAAGAGGAGATTCCAAGTCTTCTCCAATGAGCAAAGAAGGTCCATTAGTAACAAGAGAAAACCCAGCCATAGTGTCCAACCAGCTCTCGCACAAAAAAGCACATATATGACTTATTGCTTATAGTCACTATTTCGCTTATAAATAAGTAAATATGCGACATATTTCAAGCCATATTTTTTTCAAGGCACTAATTTTTTCTCTCAGTTTTATTAAACAATAAAGATTTTATACAAAATTTGACAAAATACTGAGTTACTTTACAATTTATTTAAATATTTTAGTTTTATTTTATTATTATTATAAAACTGTAATATCAATATAGGTATAGGTTCAGTACTAATTGTAATATCTTAACATACTAAGAAGGTTAGGTTAGGTTGTGGTTTTTCTATTCAGCTTTTCTATTCACGGTAAACTCAAATATTCGCAATAAATTAGTATGCCACATATGCACTTATTCATAAGCAAGATATTGACTATAAGCAAGTGCGAGACCGGGTTGCAGTGCCACCGGGTCACCAGGAGCCTCGATCCCCTCCACGCCCTCCCCCTGGTGAGGACCCACCAAGTATTGCTACGAAATGCTTCACAAAACACTTTAAGGCCACGCTCTGCCTCTCTAAAGGACTGCCTAACCAAGCCCTGCCTAGCTAACCCCAGGCTAACCAACCCCTGCCTAGCTAACTCCAGGCTAACCAACCCCTGCCTACCCAGCCAACACGTTACCACCCACCGCTGGTCAAGCCTTCAGAACACGTCAACATGAGAGCAAGCGTGACCCACAAACATCCCAGAATGGAGCAAATGTCCAACATTTTGTTATTAAAACCAAGTTACCGAAGTCAAACCCCAATGTACAGAGCTTCACCAAGACCACCATCACCAAGCTGCCTCGTTAAGCACAGTGTAACAGAGCACTGCCTCGTTAAGCACAGTTTAACAAATCACTTCCTCGTTAAGCACAATTCAACAAAGCTCTGCCTCGCTAAACTAAAGAAACCGCTCATGATATTAACAATAAAGGCTCCGGCATCTAATTTGACGAAAACTTTTATGCCACTCAGTAGCCAGTGAATTATGCAAAATATGATTGATAAAACTTTATCGCTGGTTAATATGTATGCTCTTCCTTACAGAAATATATATATATATATATATATATATATATATATATATATATATATATATATATATATATATATATATATATATATATATATATATATATATATATATATATATATATATATATGATGTGTGTATTGGAACTCACCTGAAAACTGATCCGCAAGAGTTTATCCCGTGAGATAAAACTGTTGGCCGCAGAGGAACAAACTTTCAAACGCAGGCTTGTTGTAAGCGTGAAAGTTGAACTCTTGCAATAATATCCTAGCTAGCGCTCCGCTGGACGTGTACCTCCGGAGCCTGCTAGTGGACTTGTGGGACACATCAGGCCTGACCCCGCCTTTTATACCGTACTCCCGGGGCGTGGGTTGACCAATCACCGCCCGCCACGTCCCTCCGGCCCTCCCAGCATGGCATGTTGGAAATGTGGCGACATTGGTCTATTTTTTGTCATGAACTGGGAGGGACATTAATGAAATGTTTTCGTTGTAGAATATTTAAGTGAAAATATATATCCCAAGATTTGTTCACTGACACTTAAGAATTAAAGTGATACTTTAATATATGTTTTTATATGGATTATAATGAGTAGAATTACCGTATAATATCCGTTATTATCAAAGGGAATGTCTGTCTGTCTGTCTTTTTATCTGTAATATTTGTCCAGAGTTTGAGGCCAGATGCTGGCGGATATCCTCACCCAAATTTACAGGGGGACTGGTCTGGGGAATGGGACGGACACGCTGTATACTGGTCGGGGTAGGACAAAATTATTTAAGAAAAATATCCTAAATTGGAACCCTTATCCATGGTTCTTCCTCAAGTTGTTGGCCAGAAATCAAGACGGTTCCATAAATCTTTTTGAGAACTCATCACAGTCCTATGAAACACAGAATAGAAGTAGTTGGTCTGTTTATATTGTAGGATCTCCACAAAATGTCTAGCCACCCTTTGCCTAGCCACTTTGCCTAGCCACCCTTCAGGTGGCTTTGAGGAACACCTAGCCGACCAAGACATGCCACATGCGAGGCCTAAGGACGTACCAGAAATTACTCACCAACCGTCAAGTATATTCTCAGTGTGTATGCACCGATCAGTATATACTGTATGTGTATATACTGAACAACTTGGTACACCTGGTGCTGTACTTACGAGACTCCTCCAACACAGTCCCTCAAGCACCCATCACAGTGAAATAAGAGGTCAGTGTTCTCTTAACTATACAACATTGTATCATCTGGGAAGACTTTGTAACTTTGTCTTTTCTTCAGTCGAGGCTCCGTGCTAAGGCACTCCCACCAGTCTGGAGCTGGCAGGTATTGCTTGAGGCTTAGTGACTGCTCTTATGTACGAGACAAGTGTGACTTAGAACTAGTGTATTTACTATTTGTGCCTGCATGATCGAGCTCTTGGACCCCGCCTTTCTAACCGTCAGTTGTCTAATGTACTGACTCCCGACCTATTTTGCCTCTATTATATCTACAATGTATTTCTCTCTCATACACCGCCCCCCCCCCATCCCAGGCTGTTGCCCGTAGCAACTGCCAAGTACCAAATACCAAAATTCCAGAAGTAGCATAATGCTGCTTCTGGAATTTTGGTATTTGGCCACGGTACAAGTGTGCCATGGTGCAGGTGTGCTATGGTACAGGTGTGCCACGGTACAGGTGTACCATGGTACAGGTGTGCCATGGTACAGGTGTGCCATGGTACAGGTGTGCCATGGTACAGGTGTGCCATGGTACAGGTGTGCCATGGTACAGGTGTGCCATGGTACAGGTGTGCCATGGTACAGGTGTGCCATGGTACAGGTGTACCATGGTACAGGTGACAGGATGAAGCAGCCAGCGGATTGTCTTCATCTCCCGGTGAACTAAACATCCGCCAGTGAAGGAATGTTTACAAACACTGTCCAGTGATCCTGCCCCACAAACTCTTAAGAAACGCCTCAACCTCTGAACAGTCTCTGCCACCTGACTTAAGCGACATCCTTCAAGCTAAAGAAAACACAGAATAGAGCTCCATTAAACGTAAGCATTAAATTAACCAATCTTTCCTCGCCTGCCTGTGGTTGAACCAGTCGCTCTTGGCTTGTTGTGGAGCCATCCTTCCGCTCCAGGATGTATCGAGGCTTCGCATGCTGGTTGTGGCGACTGGGGTCAACCTGGTCAGTCAGGAGGTACGTCTTCCGGCCCTTTTAATAGCACTGAAATATTTCCGCCACAGACAACTGTGGTGACGCACTCTGGAGTGGACACATTTGGCAGTGGACGGCTGAGTACCCACATGAGCCACAGGGACGTTAGAAAGAACTTTTCCAGTGTCAGAGTAGTTAACAGATGGAATACATTAGGAAGTGATGTGGTGGAGGCTGACTCCATACACAGTTTCAAGTGTAGATATGATAGAGCCCAATAGGCTCAGCAACCTGTACACCAGTTGATTGACAGTTGAGAGGCGGGACCAAAGAGCCAGAGCTCAACCCCCGCAAGCACAACTAGGTGAGTACTTGGGAGTGGGTGTAAGTGTTCTAGGACCGATCAACACGGACACGCAGGAAACTCTTGGGATTATGAATTCATCTTATATACTAATTTAAATATAGTTTAAAATAATTCCAACTCTTCAACAATCAACTAATTGATAACTAAGTCTTTTACCGCACACTGAACACGCCTCGTTGGTATGCTTACTGACCAACCAGCAGCATGGATACTTTAGTCTTGAACAAGACCACAGTACACTCTCAGGGTATACTCCGAGAGGCACGGTATACATATCAGTTTATGTATACAGACAAGCCAGGTACACCTCTGTGTATACCCCTTGAGTCGTCTGGTGTAGGTGTAGCAACTATGGCTTGTGGCGAGGGTTGAGGCAACAGTACACAAGTGTGTTCAGACGACACAACCAGCGTCGTCGGTGGTCACAAGAATGTCGTGAGGCAGCAAGACCCGTAAGGTGGGGGGGGGGGGGGGAGGTGGAGTGATGGGGGGGAGGGGCGGGGGCAAGGTGGAGTGATGGGGGGTGAGGGGACGGTGGAAAGGCAGATGGAAGGAGAGGGGGTTGTGAAATGACTGGGCCCAGATATACAGTCGAGGAGAAAATAGTGAAACTATTGACTGTTAAAAGCTACACACAGTCACATACATGGCTACTAGAGATAAATCCCAATAAATGCAAAGTAATGAGAATGGGCACAGGAGAAAGTAAACATGCCGTACAGTACAAGTTTGGGGGGAAAACAGCTCTCGAAGAAAGACACAAAAACCTTCACATATGGCGCCTTCACTGTCAGACATGAAGCTGGAAAATAAGGAACAATATTTGATCTTAAATAAGGTACCCAAACATAATATTAGGGACAACCTACGTGAGACCAGTACCGAGATGTTCAGCGCTAGCATGAAATCTACATCCTGCGGAGTCCGGTCGAAAGTAACGATATAAAACGCTTGATTTAAGTGATGAACCGAGCTTTGAGGGACACGGCCGCCCCGGCCCCTGCCACCACAGATCGGTGGAACCAGAGGAACTAGAGAGAGGAAGTGAAGAGGGGAAACACATGGTTGCATTACATCAATGTAACACTGTTTAACAAGAGAAGCAAAGTGGAAAGGGTAAACTTTCCTTAATACAGAATTACTAAAGGAAGTTTGCCCAACGATCTCCTGTAAGAGGTGAGTATCGGAAATGTAATTTACTTTTCCTTCTTCCGTATTTAGTGTCTTTGTTTTTCTATTTCCCTGGATTCCCAGTTGTCTATTATCTGTTCTCAGACCTGGCGAGTGTGGGGGAGTCCATAGTGGGACTTTCCTGGAAATACAAGACCTGACTACAGTAATAGAGATAAATGTACAAACGAACAAACGAGAGAGAGAGAAAATGAAAGAGAGAGAGAGAGAGAGAGAGAGAGAGAGAGAGAGAGAGAGAGAGAGAGAGAGAGAGAGAGAGAGAGAGAGAGAGAGAGAGAGAGAGAGAGAGAGAGAGAGAGAGAGAGAGAGAGAGAGAGAGAGAGAGAGAGAGAGAGAGAGAGAGAGAGAGAGAGAGAGAGAGAGAGAGAGAGAGAGAGAGAGAGAGAGAGAGAGAGAGAGAGAGAGAGAGAGAGAGAGAGAGAGAGAGAGAGAGAGAGAGAGAGAGAGAGAGAGAGAGAGAGAGAGAGAGAGAGAGAGAGAGAGAGAGAGAGAGAGAGAGAGAGAGAGAGAGAGGGTGTTAGAGAAAGACTGGCACCTCCCTGGGGTGTTAGAGTAAGACTGGCACCTCCCTGCTGTGCTAGAGTAAGACTGGCACCACCCTGGGGTGCTAGAGTAAGACTGGCACCACCCTGGGGTGCTAGAGTAAGACTGGCACCACCCTGGGGTGCTAGAGTAAGACTGGCACCACCCTGGGGTGCTAGAGTAAGACTGGCACCTCCCTGGGGTGTTAGAGTAAGACTGGCACCTCCCTGCTGTGCTAGAGTAAGACTGGCACCACCCTGGGGTGTTAGAGTAAGACTGGCACCTCCCTGGGGTGCTAGAGTAAGACTGGCACCACCCTGGGGTGCTAGAGTAAGACTGGCACCACCCTGGGGTGCTAGAGTAAGACTGGCACCACCCTGGGGTGCTATGGTGAAGCAGGAATCATTCTGGGGTGTCCACTACAAGCACCCTTCAGACGATGCACCCAGTGGCAACAGTAACCTCATACTGTAAGACACATTGGAACTGAAGACAAAAATAACGTAGTCCTCTGTGCACAATCTCGAACCCTAACACTCCTAACTGGACTCTAAACCAAACGAATGACAACCCTAATGACTTTTTTCCAGGTGAGGAACACTATACAAGACCTTAAGTGGAAATGTAGTAGAGAGATGGTAATGTTGGCCAAGTACGGCAGTAAGACAGGGAGGAGGAGGAGGAGGAGGGGTGAGAATGTGGGGTCAGGTAACTGTACACGTATTACAACCCTCAAGTCTTCACCTAAACCTAAACATTTATTTGGATAAAAAATATACACTGACCTGCATCAAGGTTACACCTTATTTATCGATGTTGTTGATTATTTGTCCGAGGGATGTGTCCATAATTGATTTGGTGTCTAAATGTAGGTACATTATCTGTGATCGTGGGTTGATGGAGCAGTCAGTGGTGGTCAGAAAGGAGTCTGATGGGAGTCTTTACAAGGAAAGACAAAATCAAGAATTGAGGCCGCACACCGACTTCAGGTAAAGTCGTCAAACACACCTAAACTGTTTTTCACCTTGAAAGCGTCCAACCTCACGGTGGGACTTGTGGGTCAAGCTTGCCGACGAGCCGACGTCTGGACTCCTGCTTTGTTCGAAGGGGCCGCAGAAACGATTTTACACTTCGGATCCCGGTACTGACGTCGGGCATTTTTATTCAATGGTCTGGATTGTTGCAACACCTGGCGCACTTGGCGGCCCGGGTCACGGGAAAGTTAGCAGGGTTTTTCCGTTTTCCGTTTGGTTTGGGCGGAGAGTCGGTGTCCGGGGCAAGCTTGGCCGAAAGGTGGAGGGAGGTTATCTTCTATCTGGCGGGTTTTGGAGGGCTCAAAGTGAGCTTTCAGGGCAAAGTGTGCGGCTGTCTCCCGCTGTTCTGCCTGCGGTCACGGCAACGTACCATCGAACTTAATTGTGAAATGTGGGTTTGGTTGTCCACAGAGTGTTACAACTGAATATGACATCGATTTTTTAGCTCCAAGTAGCTAGCAAGCTTCTTGGCACACTGTACTCCCCTACATATAGTCTAGCGTAGCTACACAAATGCTGATGTGCCTAAATGTGTTAATAAAAAAGTTATCGACGGCGAGTAAACGTCGACAACATTGATTCGACGTCGATAACGATGGTTAAGCATCAGTTTTGTAGAGTGAATGTTATTCGAGCATCTTATGCTCACTGAGAGAGAGAAAAGGATGGAGGGAGGGAGGGATAAAGAAAGAGAGAATGGGAGGGGGGAAGGGGAAGGGAGTTATCAGTAGAAAGAGACGTTGTTGTCTTGCCTATATACTGAGTTCTTTGAGGCTTACAGTCCCCAAGTGGGCATTTAAAGGCATAGACGACGTTGGTCTCCTTCAAAGCGTTCTGCTTGGTGTCTGGCGAGTTTTTCATGAGTAGATTGGCCGTTTTTTTGGTTTTATAATAATTTATCAATTGTATTTTCTGATTTTTGTCTGTAAGGATGACGTTCCTATCAAGAATATCTTTCAGGACCCTTTCCTCCGTTTTATGAGCCGTCGAAAAGAAGTTCCTGTAAAATACTTTAATTGGGGGTACAAGTGTGGTGTTGGTTGACTCTTCAGAAGTTGCATGGCGTTTTACCTTTCTTTTTATAATGTCTTCAACGAAACCATTGGAGAAGCCGTTGTTGACTAGGACTTGCCTTACCCTACAGAGTTCTTCATCGACTTCTTTCCATCCTGAGCTGTGGCTTAGAGCACGGTCGATGTAAGCATTGACATCACTCCTCTTGTACCTGTCTGGCCAGTCACTATTGGCATTGAGGCACATTCCTATGTTTGTTTCTTTGGTGCAGAGTGCAGTATGGAAACCTCAGCTCCTTTCTGTGACTGTTACATCTAGAAAGGGCAGCTTCCCATTGTTCTCCATCTCGTACATGAAACTCAACACAGATTCCTGCTCAAATGCCTCCTTCAGCTGCTGCAGAGATCTGGCATCAGGTACCTGTGTAAAAATGTCGTCAACATACCTGCAGTATATAGCGGGTTTCAAGCCCATGTCTACTATGACCTTCTGCTCGATGGTACCCATGTAGAAGTTCGCAAACAGGACACCTAGGGGAGAACCCATGGCGACCCCATCTACTTGCTTATACATGTGCCCATCTGGGCTTACGAAGGGTGCCTCTTTAGTGCAGGCTTGGAGTAGTTTCCTCAGTATGCTTTCTGGCATGTCAAGAGGAGTGCAAGCCGGGTCACGATACACTCTGTCTGCTATCATCCCGATTGTCTCGTCCACAGGTACGTTGGTAAATAGTGGCTCCACATCCAATGAGGCTCTTATCCCCGTGGCCCGTACTCCACGCAGTAAGTCGACAAATTGCTTGGGAGACTTCAAGCTGAAAGCACAGGGTACGTAAGGAGTCAGCAACCCATTGCGTCGCTTAGCCAGTCTGTATGTGGGTGTGGGTATCTGGATGATGATTGGCTTAGCTCTCCATGTGTCTGGGCCTCCATGTGGGTCTCTGTTCCCCCAATCTATCTTTCCATGGTTGAAGTCTCCCATGATTAGTAGCCTGGATCCGTTCCTGCTAGCCACAGAAGCTGCTCTATCTATTATATTGATGGTGGCCAAGTTGTTTCTATCATATTCCTGTCTGGGTCTTCTGTCATTCAGTGGGGGGTTATATATGACTACTACTATAATTTTCTGTCCTCCAGTTGCTATGGTGCCTGATATGTAGTCACTGAAACCTTCACAGTTCTGAATTACCATCTCTTCGAAACTCCAACCTTCTCTTAGTAGCAAAGCTTCTCCCTTCTCTCTCTTTCCTCACTACATAGTAGCCCTGTGGAAACACTGCGTTTGTTATGGTGTTTGTTAGCTTTGTTTCTGTGAGTGCTATAATGTCTGGGTTTTCTTCTAGTGCCCATTCTCCGAGTTCACTTGTTTTATTTGTAATCCCGTCTATGTTAGTGTACATTGCCTTGAAGCTCACTTTCTTCAGTTCATTTTCTTGTCCCTTTCTTGGCAAGCATTCTGCTGGTATAGGAAGCTTTTCCGTGGGTGAGAAGATCTGTGAGGTGGTTTGCAGGGTCTCAGAGGAGTTTGGGGTGAGGGGTGGGGGTTTCAGGGAAAGGGGGACAAGTATGGTGTGGGTTAAGGAGAAAGGGGGGACATGGAGGATACGGGGTGAGGGGGGGAGGAGGGATAGGGGGATGAAGGGGGAAGGGGGACAGGGGAGGAAGGGTGGGAGGGGGGACATGATGGGAATGGGGAAGGGGTGACAGGGTAAGAATGGGGTGAGGGGGGAGGGAGGGTTGGTTGGGGGCAGGTAGGGTGAGGGGAAGGGAGGGTTTCTATGCAGAGGGGGGTGGTGGTGTTGCCCTCCCCTCTGGTGTTGCTGGGATGCTGGTTTTGGGTTCGCCTCTTGTCTCTAGGACTGTTGTGCTAGGGGCTGTGATTTCCTGGTTTGCTCCTCTCTCCCTGCGCTTCCTCCTTGCCTCTGCTACCCTGGCTCTCTCCTTCTTCGTCCTGTCCCTCTGCAGGAATACTTTCTTGTATCCCTCCACATGCTGCAGTCGACTCTTCCTTTCGAGAATATCCTCCTTCATGGTTTCGTTTGTAAACACAACCTTTACAAGTCGGTTTCTGTCCTTGTTGTACCAGCCCAACCTGAAAACCTTCTCAATGTTTCGTTCAGCCCCTTCCATCTGTAACCCCTTCAGTAGCCCCTGTACTGCCTCTCTATCCTTGCTATTCCATTCTTGCCTGTTGGATCCTTCCTGTTCTTTGATGCCTACAACTACCACTGATCTTTTTCTCTCCAGCAGCTGAGTGGTGCACCTTGCTGCTTCCTGTGAGGTGGCTGCTTGCATGGCTACCTCCCTCACTGTGTTCATAGCTTCTGAGCTCTTTTTCAGTATGTCCGCAAATGTTTCAGGTACAGAGGCATTTCCTTCCAATGTAACATTCCCACCCTCCCTTTGGATGATAATCTGATGCTCGGTCTCTTTATTTTTCTCTGTGAGGGATTTGATCTCCTCCCTTGCTGATGTCAGCTCACTTGGCAGGTTGTTAATTGTAATCCTCCTTTCCTGCATCTCCTTCCTGAATTCCTCCAGAACTTGGGTTAACATGTCCTTCGTTTGGTCACTCTGGCTGTTCCCTGTGTCCCTGTTGTGTCCACCTGCCATTTTGCCCTTGTCAAGAGAGAGAGAGAGCAAGAGAGAGAGAGAGAGCAAGAATAGTCCTAGTGTCAGAGTGGGTGTGGTGGGGGGGTGGGGGAGTGTTTCGGGAGAGTGGGAGAGGTGGGGGGGGGGAGTGTGATGGGAGAGTGAGATGGGGGGTTAAGAGGTGGGTGAGGTGTAGTCTTCAGATTACGGCGGGGGAGGGGGGGGGGTGGGATTAGCGGCTTATCTGGGTTCCCAGTGAGCTCACAGTTGCTGTCCTTGTTACCTGTCTACCACGATTGTATTATTACGATTGTATTATTGAATGGAATGTAATAGTGTCTATGATATGATATTATATAAACCTTGTACACTGTTGGAGACTTATGAGAGATACCAGCCAGCCCCCCACAAGCACTCTAGGTGAATACACGGCGTGTCGTCGGTAATCCTGTGAGGTCTTCAGGTCTCCACGTGGGTCCCAGCTCATGCGACTGATGCTGCCTCAAGAAGTCGATCTTCACTAGCTATCTTCTCTAAATTCACTAAGATAATTTACCACGAGATGTGATCAATGTGTTGCATTACAATGCCACTGTTCAATTTACTCTGTCCCGATTCTCACTGCACAGTACACCCGCTCCCTTGAACCCTATTGTTCCCTCGGTTAACGCGGACCGCTGACCCTACACGTCTGCTCACGATCAAAGCTGACCCAAGACCCAAGTGTGTGTGTGTGTGTGTGTGTGTGTGTGTGTGTGTGTGTGTGTGTGTGTGTGTGTGTGTGTGTGTGTGTGTGTGTGTGTGTGTGTGTGTGTGTGTGTGTGTGTGTGTGTGTGTGTGTGTGTGTGTGTGTGTGTGTGTGTGTGTGTGTGTGTGTGTGTGTGTGTGGTGGGTGTGTGTGTGTGTGTGTGGTGTGTGTGTGTGTGTGTGTGTGTGTGTGTGTGTGTGTGTGTGTGTGTGTGTGTGTGTGTGTGTGTGTGTGTGTGTGTGGTGTGTGTGTGTGTGTGTGTGTGTGTGTGTGTGTGTGTGTGTGGTGTGTGTGTGTGTGTGTGTGTGTGTGTGTGTGTGTGTGTGTGTGTGTGTGTGTGTGTGTGTATTCCACATATACACCAGGCGGTCTTCGTAAACATGCGCCAAATGCTCGTTAATCAAGCCGCTAAACACCCAGCTTATGAATAAAGAACAGTTGCCAAATAATACACAATGGCTGACATTCGAGCATGTCTCGAACACTGCCTCGCTAACGTCCTCTGTTCGAATCTCACCTCTGTAAACGCTTCCCCCCCCCCCACGCACTACAAATTATTGCTAAAAGAACTTGAACATCTAATTTAGCTAAATTTT